GGAGGCCAGGGGCGGGCAGCATGGACCGAGTGCGGGCCAGCGGGAGCGGGGCGTCGGCCCCCACACGCGTCTCTGGACAGCTCCAGCCCCGGCGTTGGCTCCGGCTTGAACTGCCCCGAGGGCGGCAGACCCTGCTCTGGCGACTGGACTGTGGGGGACGCCCCTGCTCCCGACGCCGGCCCCCCCGGCCGAGTCCACCGCCCCGCGCGCACTGTGCCCGCACACGACCATCTCCGTCCCGGCACTGACGGCCCCTGTACCGACTCCCCGGCTCAGCACCAGGGGCGCCGAGCGCCTTCCCCAAGGGCGGGGGAGAGCGGGGCGGCCGCTGGCCGCTGGCCGGGGCCGGGTCCCGGCCTGCTGCTGCAGGCGGCCGGCAGGGGGCACCTGGAGCTGAGCCTGGAGGCGGCTGGGAGGCTTCCGGCTCTGGCAAGGTGCAGCTGGCCTCCGGCACGTGGAAGCTCCGTTTTCCTTTAGTAAGAGCAGGGGGAGCCCGTGCGGTGTGGGGCGGCCTCGGCCTGTGTGCTGGCCTGGGCCCGCGATGAAGCGGTGACCAGCCTGCTGTCTGCCCCCCCAGAATCCGCCCGCTTAGGGTTCTTGTTAAACAGGGGAGCGCCCTGGACGTAGCCGGGGCCGCGTGTCCCCCTGGCCGATGTCCAGCTCCGGCGTCTGCCCCGGAAGCTTTTCAACAGGAGGGGCTCCCGCCGGCTTATTCCGAGGCCCCACCGCACCCTCAGAGGCGTGGGGGTGTGGCAGCCTGGGGCCGCCTCCTCCGAGCGGTCGCTCCCTGTGGGCTCAGGCCCCAGCTGCTCTGGCTGGGAGCCTCGGGCCCAGCCAGGAGTCTGCACCCCTACAGGAGTCCGACGGGCCCAGGGGCGCGCCCCTCCCTCCGCACCAGCTCCCTCCCGGCGGGGTGCCCACGCTGCTGGCTGCCCTGCTGGCAGAGGCGCTCCCAGGGGCTTTCGCTGGCTGGAAGGCGTGCAGGGGGCCTGGCTCCCCCACTCTGCCACCACCTGCGGGCCCCGGGTTGTAGACACAACAGGGACGCCCACCCTGGGCAGGGCTCAGTGGGGGGCCGGACCCAGGAGGCCGGTGTCTGCCAGGGCACGGGGACCCCAGCTCTGTGCTGGGAAGTGAAGTGGCTGGGCCAGAGCTGGGAGGAGCAGGCCAGGTGTGGGCTCTGCGAGGTGAACTGGGGGGCCCCGCCCCAGGGCGGTCCCAAGGGCCCCTGCGGCCCAATCCACCGGCGGCCGGGGAGTGGCCAGAGGGCAGCAGACCTCTCCTGTCTCAGTGGGCTTCACTGGATCCCATTTGTCGGGGAGCCCCCCCACGGCGGGGCGACGCTTCCCTGGTGGGTGAAGTGCCAGGGCCCGGCGGCAGGGCGGCGGAAGGACGGGGCGGACGGCCGACCACGGCGCGGGGCAGGCCGGAGG